GCTTGATCCTCATCTTTAATTTCAGCATCTATATTACTCAAATCCATAAGAATGGAATCAAAGGTGTCAAGATGAGAGAGAATAGAGGTACCTTCACCCATACGAATTGTATAAAGCTTCTGCTTCAGGTAATGTCTATTTTCTACCGTCCTCTTCATATATAAGGTTTTCAATTTTTCCCACATCCCTTTAGCTATGGTTTCTACAGAAACTTCACGTAAAACCTCATTTGAGAGATTTAAAATGATACCTGCTTTTGCCTTTTTGTCTATGATGGCAAACTCCTCGTCCGTCATTTTATCCGACTTCTTCTCCTTTCCTTGCAATGCCAAGTCTAAGCCATCCTGAATTAGGATAGCTTCCATCTTTAATTGCCACATTCCGAAGTTTGCACTTCGGTCAAATTTCTCAACATAGGTCTTTGTTAGAGTCATTTTTGGCTATTGAAACTAACCCAGTTAGATCCGGCTCTGATACCAATTTATTAGGATCGGGAATCCGGGTAATACAGAATTTTGCAAAATAACGATATAATGATAATAACAAAGACAATGGAAGTTGATAACAACGACAATTAAAGTAGATAAAGAAGACACAAATTTAATGTGGTTCGGTCAAAGTGACCTACGTCCACAAGCGGAGAGGAGCAATTTACTATAATAATAAGAGTACAAAAGAGAGTACAAAATTAGAGTAAACACTCTAATTAATCCCAAATACCCTAAGAGAATAACCTCACAAGATCACTCTAAAGAAAGGGTTCACACAAGTGCTTCCCAACACTAACTCTCATACAAAGCACTCTTAATAAAGGAAGAAAGGAAGAAACAAGAATTGAAGACAAGTCTTGTTGGTGTGTCTAAAATGAACTAATGACCTTCCCTTTTATAGGCAAAAAGTCTTGGCCTCTTAGGTGTAAAAGAAGAGATATAACTTGTGCAAATGATATCCAACACACAATGCAATATTTTTGGGTACCAAAGAATATTGCCAACAAAGTCTACACTTTGCAAAGATGCTTATGCTTATGTGAGATGGACTCCATTAGCCAAAATATTGGCCATAATTACAGGGTGCAAAGCCAATGTCAGTGCAGTTGTACAATAGGTGTTTAGCTGAATATATCTGAGGCCGACTTACAATAGCAAGATCATGAGTCCTGATTACTTCTTTAGCGATCTTTGCTGATGACAATACTACTATTGGTATCTCGCCTAGCTTCAGATACATAATGGGGCCTAACTTCTTTGCAAGACAGTGAAGGGACTTGTGAGTTGCATTTCCTAGTTGATGGAGGTTGCCAATGATGGGTAATTTCAGAGGGCTAGGGGGGAGTTTGATATCTCTTTTCTTGTTAAACAGAAACCTCAGAGCAAGTGCAAGGATGATTGATACAAAAAGTAATAGTTGAAAGTTTGTCTCAAGCTGTTGGAGGAAAGACATTGGAGCTTTCAACAAAGTTTGCAGTTGTAATCCCATTTGTTTTATCAAGGACATTAGCCTGCATAATTTAAATCTTGAGTCTGAACTTTTTGAGTGGTGATGTTAAGGCATCCATTCATTAAAATAGGTAATGCTCAGTCCACTAATCTCCTTGGCATCAAACATGATAGTTTACACTTTTTTCCTGTAATGATGCTGGAATTTATATTTGTTTACCCGAAAAAAGGATAGAGTTGAATTTATACGAATTATTATACAAAACCCAAAAAAGGATTATCTCTATATGAATATCAGTATATTTTTCACTGTGAATATCAATAATATGAGAGTGTATGAATGCCTTAATGTTGGGTCCCTTTACAGAAATAGTAGATATCCCTCTTATAGTGGAGGAATCTTACTTTAGATATAATTAAAAATACATAGTGGGGATCCCATGATAGATTAGCTTTTCCCTAATTCCCGACAAAATTCTCTCCCTTAGTGTGGTTGTAACTGCTCTTATCTCTTGGCTCGATCTTGGTCGGATTTGGTATTGGTCGATTTCCAGATTTAGAGCTCGATATTAACTTGAGCTTGGTATTGACTCGAGCTCAATATTGACTCGGGGCTCGGTATCAAATCAGGCTTGATATTGGTTGGTCTCTGGATCTTAAGCTCGATGACATCGCTTCACTTCATAGTTCGATTTGGACTCGAGTTCGGTAATGACTTTGAGCTCGGTATTTGATCGATCCTAGAAATTTGAGCTTGGTAACCTAGATTTAGATCTCATCTCGATATTATGAAGATGACCTTTGATCCATTATGTTCCAATCTTGACTAATCATATGAAGGTCGAAACCAATTTTGATGGTATACAGATAATTCCCTCGTTTCTCGGAAAAAATGTGGCGAGAAACGACATGATTTTCCAACGGTATGACTAGATATACACTGACGTTTGCATCGAGCCCGACCATGTCGTACATGATAGATGTCCCGTTGGTTCAGTTACCAAGGCATTAAATGCATGTCAGACGATGGTCGGCCATTACTGATATTGAACCGTCATTGCCAACCCTATAAATAGCTCCTCTTTTTACCAATTTTTACTTTTACATCTCCAATTTCCAAATTTTCTAAGTTCTTTTTCACATCTTCTGAGTTTTTCATCTGTAAATCTGTGATTTTGACTGCAAAATCCCTCTTCAGAATACCAAATCTTGTCATCTTCCTCTATCTTCAATCTTCAAATCCAAATGGCAAAAACGTCAAAAACCGTTCCTAAAAAAGAAAAAGCTTCTTTTTCGCGGCCCGCCGGTGATAAAACACAGGTGGAGCCACGACCTGAGGAGTGTGTTCCCGGGAGGTGTGTTCTTACCTCTAATTTTAAAATCGACAAAGCCTCACCGGTTCCCGGTCGATGCGAGCCAGTATCGAGGTATATGTGCTCGATAATCGAGGGACATCATAAACAGTTGAGGAAAGATTGCAACTAGGAGAACAAAGAAGTGATAATCCCGGCTCCCCAAGTAAGATATTACTACTCATGTGAAAGGGTTTTTAAGTGTTTATACTTACCCTTTCACATTGGGCCCACTCGACCCTGTTATCATCGATTTTTGCCACCAATACCAAATAACCCTAGGCCAAATCCATCCTTCTTTTTGGCGGATCGTTATTCTGATCCGCTTCTTTGTGAAGAAAGTCAAGGGGATGCCTTTCACCCTCGACCACCTCATTAGATTGTATAGCCCCCACCTCTATCGAGGTGGGTTAATAAAACTCCAGTGTCGGGCTAACAAAGTGTTATTTTCGAGCATAGACGAGGACAAGGACTGAAGCTGGATGGGAAGGTTCATTCGAGTGAAGACTTCCGACCTAATCCCGGCTGAGAAGATGCCATTTCCCGAGGAATGGAACATGAAGCGTAAGTATAATTCTATTGTTAGCTCCTATTGTTTTGCTCCTTCGTTTCTTTCTCACCGATATCCTTTTCCGTGATGTAGTGGTTGCTTGGATGCCCGGTGCTATTCCTAACCTTGAGAGCTGGGTATGGGACCTAGCTTCAACCTCCACATATGTCGAGCGCTCGTGGCGCGACTTATCAAAGGGCCGATGAGAGGCTAAAATTCATAGTAAGCCTCTTTCCCATGTCTTCGATGATTCGAACAAAATGTCTTTTTATACTTAACCAATTTTCTTGTGTGTAGGCTTGGGTAAAGATGCGGTTATGAGGCCCCCGTCTGGCGAGGAAGAGACTTCAGCCCCGATTCCGAAACCGGCGAAGGACAACAAGAGAAAAATGGCTTCTACTTTCGAGGATCCAAAACTTAAGACAAGGACGACTCGTAAGCCGAGGAAGAATACCATCCTTTTGACTGAAGAATCAGTTCGACATCTAAGGGATAAAGACAAAGAAGAAGAAGAAGAAAACGATGGGTCCATACTGGTGGCCCGAGTGAAGAAAACCATCAATGCCCCAAAGGTAGCTGGCTCGATGGTGGTTGATGAGGCTCCGTCTCGAACTGAGGGGATATGGGAGAAGGACTCGGGCAAAGTCCTCGAGTCATTGGAGATCGAGGATGCCTCCCACCGAAGTCAACAAACGGTGGGTATATCTGAAGGGGCCGGCCCTGAAGCTCTTCGAATTGAGGAGAACGCCCCAAGCGACTCGCTTGGGGAAATAGTAATCGGAGACTCGCCTACTCTCCCTGCTTTTATTGAAGGGGAAATTTGGGAAGCCAGAGCTTTGGGGACCCTCGAGGTAGATGGGGCCCATGAGGGAGAGGACCCCTTTCGTGATTTGTTTACCGGTATCGAGGATGTTGCCGGCCCGAGTGATGCGTCGGGTCTTTTCTTCGAGGTTCAACGAGCCCTAAATCGGGTAAGTTTCGATTCCTTTTGTTGATGTCATATTTTTCCATTTTCTGCCTAAATTTTTCTCTTTTTCGTATAGGCTTTAGCTCTTCATCAAGAGGAGCTTTCCAAGTCTCAGGCAGAGCTGAGCCGACGTGAGGCCGACTTCCGAGGGCTTTCGGATGAGAGAAATGCCCTCAAACTTCTTAGTAGGTAGAAAGAGGAAGAGATCAAAGATTTTCGAGCCGAGTTGGCCAAGGCTCACCAAGATCAGACAAACCTGATCGAGTAGGTAATGAAAATTTTAAAAGCTCATGGACAAACCTTATCACAGCTGCAACAGAAGATCGAGAGGATCGAGCAGTTTCGTAAGGAGGTCGACACGATAAAGGCAGAGTCCTTGGGATGGAAAGAAGATATGGACCATCTTGCTGTAGAGAAAGAAACCGCTCGAGCTCAATTATCATCGGTTGAAAGTCAACTTCAAGGCATGAAGGAGAAGAGCTCGGCTCAAGTAAGAAAAATAGAGGAGCTCGAAGATCTGTTGGCTTCCGAATTTGCCAAGGTCGAGAAAGCAAAGGTCGAGGCAGATGCAATCGTGGCTGTCTATCGGGCCGATGCTGAAGCCGCCCAAGTGCAAGCGAGAGAGGCAGCCGAGACCGCTCAAACTCGAGCACATTGGGTTGCTGAACTCGCCAAATGACAATCTCTGAGGGAAACCCTCGAGGAGATCCATGCTCGAGGTTTTGATCTTACTGAACAGATACTAAAGGCCAAAGAACTTGAAGCTGATGCTGGAGCCCTAGCTTCCGATGATGATGATGATGATGATGATGATGATGAGATCAAGAGTGGGTCTGAGAGCGGGGAGGAGCCCGATGGAGAAGAGACTGCCCCAGAGATAATCAGGAAACTTAGGGTTTTTTCTATTTTGATCTTTTTGTGTAGGGTCCGGATAGGACCTTGTAATACTTTTATATATATAAAGATCTTTTTCCTTTACCGACTTGTCTTTATCTTATTATTTGCCTTATGAAGATTTTGTTTCATTCATGCCTTATGAAAGTTTTCATAAGTTCGAGGCTTTAGGTAATTTGATCGAAGTCGGACCTTGTAGTGTTTATAACCGAGTGAGTGTTTGCTCGAATCCGAAGTAATGTAGCCCGTAGGCCTTATGGTCAAGTGAGAGTTTTGCTCGAACTCAAAGTGATGTAGCCCTTAGGCTTAATAGTCGAGTGAGTGTTTGCTCAAACTTAAAGTAATGTAGCCCGTAGGCTTAGTGGTCGAGTGAGTGATTGCTCGAACTCGAAGTGAGAGTCGCCCTTAGGCTTTGTAGTCGAGTGAGTGATTGCTCGAACTCAAAGTAAGAGTAGCCCTTAGACTTAATAGTCGAGTGAGTGTTTGCTTGAACTCGAAGTAATTTAGCTCGTAGGCTTAGTAGTTGAGTGAGTGTTTGCTCAAACTCGAAGTAATGTAGCCAGTAGGCTTTATGGACGAGTAAGAGTTTTGCTCGAACTCAAAGTGATGTAATCTTTAGGCTTAATAGTCGAGTGGGTGTTTGCTCGAACTCGAAGTAATGTAGCCCGTAGGCTTAGTGGTCGAGTGAGTGATTGATCAAACTCGAAGTGAGAGTAGCCCTTAGGCTTAGTAGTCGAGTGAGTGATTGCTCGAACTCGAAGTAAGAGTAGCCCTTAGGCTTAATAGTCGATTGAGTGTTTGCTTGAACTCGAAGTAATGTAGCCTGTAGGCTTAGTAGTTGAGTGAGTGTTTGCTTGAACTCGAAGTAATGTAGCGCGTAGGCTTTATGATCGAGTTAGTGATTGCTCGAACTCGAAGTGAGAGTAGCCCTTAGGCTTTACGGTCAAGTGAGTGTTTGCTCGAACTCTAAGTAATGTAGCCCTTAGGCTTAATAATCGAGTGAGTGTTTGCTCGAACTCGAAGTAATGTAGCCCGTAGGCTTAATGGTTGAGTGAGTGATTTCTTAAACTCGAAGTGAGAGTAGCCCTTAGTCTTAGTAGTCGATTAGTGATTGTTCGAACTCGAAGTAAGAGTAGCCCTTAGGCTTAATAGTCGTGTGAGTGTTTGCTCGAACTCGAAGTAATGTTGACCGTAGGCTTAGTAGTCGAGTGAGTGTTTGCTCAAACTGGAAGTAATGTAGCCCGTAGGCTTTATGGTTGAGTGAGAGTGTTGCTCGA